AAGGGGGATGCGGGGACGGGGGGAGGGCTGAGAGGGGTGGTTTGATTTCTGAGTAAGGTGTTTGAAATTTAATTTTTTTTTGTGCGGTTCATTTTGTTGTTCCAAATTATTTTTTCAAAAAGGAACCCCACAGAGTAAAAATTGAAAAAAAGAAGTAATTAGGTGTCATGGCCTGTTGCCAAAGCTTACCTAAAAGACAAAATTTCATAGAATTACGAAATTTTTTTTGTTGGAAGCTCTGGGATTTGTGTTTTTTATTTACAGCTTTTCCTCCCGGAACCGGTAAACTTTTCTAAAAGTACGGGTAAACTCTTGGAATTTTATAAATGTAAAAATATTTGCCTACTTGGATCAGCAGTGACCAAAATATAATTCTCTAACACCAAAGCTAGTAGCTTTTCTAGCTGCTTTGAGCAATAACCTATTACCCAGTACAATCCTGGCGCAAGTTCTGCCTCCTGGAAGGAATTGCCCCCTTAAATTCAGACACAAGCAATTGGTAAAATTTTTGTCCTTGATATTTCTTGAGTACCACCACCTCATCTGGATCTGTGCTGCTTATAGACCATGACGAGGCTACCATTCTGCCTAGAGAATACAAAACTGTTATTAACATAGGCGAATCCAGGGCGGTCTTCTGGGAGAATGGGGTGGGGAGGGCATTTTTCACCTCCCCTTCTTCCTTCGTTATTAACCCCCCTCCCCCTCCCCTCGTCCCGCTGTCACCAATGGACACTAAACCGAGACTGGCAAGGTTCAGGGGGGAGGGGGAAGGGCGACAGAGGATACCGAGCGGACTTTTGTACAGTAAAACAACTGCCACCTAAACTCCTGGGGTGCCTCTCCCTCCCCCCTTCCTGAATCGGCCAATGGTTGTTAAATACTGTTTATGAACAATGGACAATTATAGGTATCGGCTCGTAAAGCAGCACTGGTGGCGCTGGAGGCGCTTTTTCCGAACTTATCAGAACTGGAAAAAACAGAGGTCCTTCAGGTGTACAAGGTATGCCTTTTTAGTAATGATATGGTAAGAAAAAAACTGGAATTGCTATTCTGTGAAGAAATTCAGTACTAAACTGTGGCTTTGTAACTTTATAAAGGCAGTGAATAAAGCTTAGACAATTGAATGTCCCATGAAACAAGTGAATTTTGGGATATTTCGCTTAGAACCACGAAAAACTGATGGATGACACATGTTGCTCGCCTTGCTGACAACCGATCGAGGCCACCCAGCAACGGGTAATTTTCGCGAAACTGTAAAGAATCAGCGGACAATCTCCGATGACATGTGTATATGTGTGGAATGGATTTGGAAAGATACAACTAAAAATGAGTGATCGAGTACAGGACCTTACAAATTTAGCATATGACTGCGCCCCAGTAACACTGAAAACTGCGCACTGATCTTGGTGGTAAAAAACAGTTGGCCGACGCACCGACTGCCGGTGCAAAGATGCGTTTTTTGCATAGCTCCCCGCAGGTTTTTGTCGCCAACAGCACTGTTTTTTTCCAGCAAATGCTTCTAGCTAAACAAATTAAGACTGGCCGCCAGGACTGTCAGGAAACATCCCTTAAAATTTCAGCTTTCCAACTTTTCTGGTTCTCGAGTTAGTAATTTTTCCGAAAAAAACTTTCACGGATCCGTACTTGGCAATTATATGGGTAAGAACGCTCATTTTGGGGCTGGGGGAGAGCGTGTGTGCATAAAGATTAAGTTACCAGAGATTCTGCCTTTGTAGCTTTTGTAGGTCTCAAGATGAAAAATCGGTACAAACGAACACACAGATAACTTCTCGACAATATGCGTTTTTGCATTGCAAAAATGCGGAAAAAAGCGCATAAAAATTGTAAAATCTCATTAAAAAAAGTGGAGAGTAAGTGAGATTTCCGTTCATGAAGTTTCACATCTGTGTATACAGCTAAGGGATGAAACACAGGGATGAAACACGGTTTTTTTGGTAAATGCTTCTTGCTAAACAAATTAAGACTGGCCGCCAGAACTGTCAGGAAACACCCCCTTAAAATTTCAGCTTTCTACCTTTCCTGGCCCTGAGTTAGCAACTTACTGGAAAAAAATTTTCACGGATGTGAAAATATCTTCATACATAAAGTATCTTCATACACATGACATCCAAGTGAAATCCTTCTATTCTTCTATCTCACACCTCTTAACACCATATCCGAAATCGCATCTCTCCCCAGCACTCATTGTTTCAGCTCTGTTGTCGTGATCCTTCATTGTTGGTGAGAAAACAAGCCGCAGAGTGCTTAAGCCGTCTTCTGAAGCTTGTTGGCGAGAGTAGCGATGTGTTGGATGATATTTGGCTTTCATCAGTACTGCCTTTGATCAGTGATCGTGAACAATCGGTCGTACTGTTGGCATCAAAACTAGTCTTGGCAAGTTACTCTTTGCTTCGGAGCCACCGATATTTTTCATTTAACTTGCCTGTAAAAGAGGGGGAGGGGGGGG